ATATAAATATAATTCTGAGGCCAGAATTATAATATAAATGCTTATGTCAAAGGTTGTTTGCTTGGGAAAGTGAGTTTTGAGAGACAGATTGGGTCAGATTATGATGATTTACAACCATCAGCCTCATTGAGAAATTTAACTGGTAAGATAGGCAGCAGGGAGCCAATGTAGCTTCTTGAGTAGAATAGTCATGTGAACATGGCTATTTTTGTGTTGAAGGTTTAATGAGAACTAGGCTCTGGAATAAGTATCTAAACTACATTGGTAAACTACATTGGTTCTGCAAGTGAAAACTTTTGAAAGTACTAATATTCAGGTCTACTACAGATTATCAGATCAGAATATCCAAGAGTGAGGCTCAGGGTTATGAACACATAAATCTAATCCTAGGTGTTTTTGATGTATATCCTCTATTGAATATCACTAATGAATGTCCTAAACTATTCAGAGATAATAGGAGCTCTCTGAGACCCTCTATGCACCATACCATTGTGAATTTATTGAGATACGCACATTGAGGCATTGCTGGTTCTATAAGAACCAGAACCTGGGTCCTGAATGGTTAGAGTATTGAGACCAAGGGATGTGATGGGAGCTCCTGGGAGTTAGGGTTGGCTGGAGAGGAAGCTTCAGAGATTGTGAGCTGGAGAGGAGTAGCAAAGAACCTGTCTGGACTAGCAGGCAGCCAGGATGGGTATAGTCTCTATGCATCAGCTTTCTATACCAACAGTATTAAAAAAATACTGGCCTATGGAAACTTTGCAAGGTGGAAAGACTGATCTTAGAATCACATTGGTGCCATATCTTTGAAGAGGGATGGATGAGACCTTGAATCTGGAGTGTTACCTGCCAGGAGAAGCAGAAGGAATTCTTCTCTAATTTCAGCCCAAAGGTCTCCTATTCAAGATAGGAACTACATGGATGAAGTTTATAAACATACTAAAATACAAGCTACTACAAGAATATATCAGAAGAAACAAGAAACTAAAAGTTGATGTTCCCAATGATAAGCAAATGTTGAACTAATCAAATACAGAGTATAGAATGACAGTGGATAAGGGGTTCAAATAAAGGAAGCAAAAAGCAATTATTTTATAGTAAGGAAATTAAGTCAGAGAAATTTAATGATGGAAGTATAGCAGTTGCAATTAATAGTGGTTGGGTTAAAAGGAAGACACATAAAGTTTCTGATAGCATAAGTAATCTGAAAGTTATTTTTAAACAATTTATCTAGAATGCAATAAACAGAGATGAGGAAGTAGAAGAAATTTGAAAGAGGGGTTTAGAGATAAGAAGAATGGAATGAGAAGTTTTAATATATATCTGTTTAAAACTCCAGAAAGTCATAATTGAGAAAATGGAAGAGAGAACAATATTGAAGAAAAATGCCCAGAACTGAGAAAAATATGAGCCCACTGAATTAGGAAACACAATGCATCCCAAAGAAGATAAATCCAAAGAACAACAGCTTTATAATAGCCCTGGGGGGTGAGTCATTGTTGTGAGCTGAATTGTGTTCCACAGTATTGAAATAGAGTGAACCCTTTACTCATTATGATTGATATCCTTATAAAAAGAATAGAGACTCAGTAACAGAGAGAGACAGAGGGAATAACATATAAACACATAGACACACAGAGGGAAGGCAGCAATCTTATAATGAAAGCAGAGATTAGAGTTACGCTATCGGTAAACCAAGGAATGTCTCTCTCTGCCAGGAACAACCAGAAGCTGACAGAGACAGCATGGCCCTGCTCACACCTTGTTTCAGACTTCCAGAGTCCAGAACTGTAAAACAATGTATTTCTGCTGCAGTCCAGCTGCAGCAGGAGTCAGGGGTGCTGAAGGTGGGCAAGGTGTCGGTGCTGGGAGACAGCAGACTACACAACTTAGAGGTGGTGTGACACTGTTCCACTTTATTGAGAATCAACATAATCTTTTATACTTTCTTTTTTGGCTACGATTATATTTTTTCAGTTAGCAAGCAAGAAATATTATTCACAGGTTAAACAATACAAGTTTCGATTTCATCAGAATGGAACAATTTTGACTTTTATTTTTTAGAATAGAGGAGAAAGGAAAAATCAGTGACCTATAGAGTGATAGATGCGGCTTTGTTTGCAGCAGTAATATATTAGCTTGTGAGACAGATATTTTATATAATATTTGCCTGTGGTTACTACTTCTTATGGTTATATTTTAACTATGGACCTATTCATAAGCTATTATATTCTTCTTGCCACTTTCTTCTAAGAAAAGAGTGCCTTTTGCCATAGCTATTGATTAACTGCTTAAGAATGCTTTCCTTTTGTTTCTTTGGGAGCAAGCACCAGAGTGGCCGCCGCCTTGCCAAGCGTTTCGTGAAGGGCAAGTTTTCATACTGAACATGCCTTCCATTTACATTAACTATTTTGATACTGTTCTCGTTGTAAGCACCTGTCTAAGGCAGAGGAGGGCCTGGTAGCCTTTTCATACTGTTAGCCCCTTTTAGGGGGATGCCGTAATCTGCTATTTATTCTATATGCTACCCAGGGTCATCCTTGTACAGTAGGCAAGGGGCGATGGCCTTTTTCCTGTCCTCGACTAATCTTGCAACCATAGGCGGGTGCATGAGCTCAGCTTTCTCTAGTTCTTCCATAAATTCCTTATTGGGGGCGCCAGGGGGAGTTTTCCTAGCTACTTCTAATAACAATTTGTTAAAGCATCTGGCACATGTCATAGTGACTGGACTTGGGAAAATCAAGATTTCTTCAGAAGTGAGAACATTGTTAACCATTCCCAGGTTAGTTATTGATTTATGGCCCCAAATCCCCCTCCAAGGAAGAGAAGAGATATTCCCATTAAGCCAATTACTCCCACCCACATGCCACGTCCTCTCCCCAGAAGACACCTTCCTTGAAGCTTCCTTTCCACGTCCGGATCTTGTCAGACAACGTGGTTGGAAGAGGACGTGGCATATTTCTGTTTTAAGCCTCCCAGTTTGTGATATTTTGCACAGCAGCCCTAGAACAAGAATGCATACATTATTGCTTTCATTTTTCAGATTAGTCGCAGGGAGGTGAACGACTTCATCAAAGTGACTAAGGAGCAATCCCAGCCTCGTTGATTTATGATGTAATAGTAAGACAGAGACCAGAATAGAAGTCAAAAATGGGTGACCTACAGCCATGAGTGAAGGTGTGTTTTCTTGGACCCTCACAGATATAATTTCTTTTGGTATTGTTTAGCAGAAGTTAAAAATTGTAAGATTTCAAATAAAATTTTCGATTAGAGTCCTCTCTTGCCTGAATTCCCATATGACAATAATTACCTGAGGCTGAGTCCACAGATCTACATCTGTGCATTTGTATGCTCTCCCACTTTTCCTGTCCCCACATAACCTGATTAACTTATTTGTGTTTCTTTGCCAAACCTATAGGGTGTTTACATTTATGACCTCTGCTGGGGAGATTAAAGGCCAGACTTTGGACTGGGCCTTTTAATACTATCAACACTTTACAGTGGTGTAATTATTGACATGATAGGTATCCAACTCAAGCATCAATTTCCCTACCTGTGAAGTATCTGCCTTGGAGAAGTTATTGAATTAAGTTTAATGCTTGAAAATCAATATTGCTTGTTGAACAATGGACATCCAGTAACGTTAATTACTACCTTAATATAATTTTTCAAATATCTGTAATACTAGTAGAATATGAGAAATCTTTTTTTTCTTATGAGAAAAATGTTTGTAAGAAAATTTAGTTCTCTTGAGGACTCTGTGTGGGTGGTACTGTTTTTTCCGCTTTATGAATGAGGAAACTGGGCCTAAGAAAGGTTAAGTAACTTTCCAAATGATCATATTGTTATGACAGACCTGTCCTGACCTGAAACCTGTGTTCTTAATCCCTGAGCATATTGGCAGACTGCCCTCAAAATATGGTTTCTTCAACAAAGGGTGTCTCTTCAAAGAAACTATCTGATTACCTATGGAAATGGAGCCCTGGCCCCAGTGTCTGGTATCTCACAGGAATGTATCCCTTAGGTGGAGAAAAGCATTGAAAACATTCCCCTACTGTATTTGGTATCAATGCACATATATTTTTTTCTAACTTATTACTGACAAATTGAAAGGAAAAGAATCATGCTAAGTTTTACTTTAGCTTTATAAAAAGCTCATTAGAATTGTCCAACCCTGAAAAATACAGTGAATATTTTGGTTTTGAGTCCTGGCACCCATTCCCTTGCCACAGCCTATGCTGGAAATTTTAGGAATTAGCACAAGATAACAAATTAGAAACCCTCCCAAAGCTTCTCAGAGGTAATACTTCATTATTTATTACTATATGCACAAGGAAAATACAGCCTAGGCAAAATAAATGGCCATTTCCCTGCTCTGAAGGTGCAGAGCCATGATGTGCCATGATGCTATGGTGACTCCCCAAATCATTCCTCAGGCAACAAGCCACATCTCCTCCCACCCTGCACATTTAGGTTAGAAAGGCTGTGTTTACTCTCGGGAATTTTTGAACATTTTGAAAGAAAGCTTGGTTTCTGGCGATAGAATATCTGTCCATGGGGTTTCTCTAGTGTTCTTCCAGCAAGGAATGTTTGTTATTACATTGACTTGTTGTTATAGATCTGGAGCTGAAAAATTAGCAAGAAGACGAGGGCATTATAAAGAGTCAATGCTACTGAAGATTCTGTCTGAGGGTTTAATTTGTTTCCCATCACAGCAGAACCCAAAGTGACCTGTATGCATGTCTATAGTACTGTAAGGGAACCTAATAAAAATAAATAAATAAAAAAGGAGGGACATTCTCAATTAGAATTACAGTCATCCATGGCTTCCTTTGTTATTGATGGATTCTTAGTGGTTGGGGTAGGGCCCAGGGGGAATAAGCAACAAGCATTGTAAGAGGGAGAGATTTATTAAAAATAGGTGACCATTGGAGACATTAATTATCTAGCACAGAAGCAGACTCTCCTCCCACAATAACTAACGGCTTCTCCCTCAGAATGGGCTTGGAGAAGTGCTGGTATTCTAGTAGTTGTAGTACTAGAGATCCCATCTTCACTCTGTGGAGAGAGCAAAAGGTTATAATTATGGACTGGCTCAGATACCAGTACTGGAACTCAGTTCTTAGGAAGGCTGGTAGTAGAGAGTGTAGCCCTCAAGGAACTACTCACAGACCGGTACATGCAAGTAGACAATACTATACAACTTAATTAGAATTCTTAATTTCTAGAACCTTAATTTTTAGTGACAACTGAAAGTAAGTAATTGGCATTCTTTAGATTGGCAAATTTATGAATACATTTCATAACTTTCAGAAACAGGTTTTTTCCACTGGCAAATACACTTATATTTTTAAGAGGCATAATAGACATAACATAAATCATCCCTTTAGTGTGCTTAGAAATGAGCTGTTTAATTATCTAGTGTCCTTGACCACTTTTAGGAGGCTGGAGAAGAGGCAGGGGATGGATATCAGGCCTTGACATTTGAACTTAAAAATACCACATTTTTTCTTTACATTAAGGTGGGGCAGTGGTTCCTGCTGCTTCGACAGCCTGCACAGGATTTTAGGGTGGTATTAATTTCTCCATTGTTCCCGGGACTGCAGCAGCTCCCGGGCTTCCGAGATAGAGTGTTTAAAAGACTTGTTTCCTCCCATTTTTCTTTTTGACTTTTATCTGGGAGGGTAATAAGATATTTCCCCCTCTTTGAATCATTAATTTAGATCTTTCTGAGTAGAATTCTTATTAAGCAACAACATGAAGCTTGCATATAAGACGTTTTATCTTATTTACTAGGCAACTGGCAAACAATTCTAACTATGCTACAATAAAAGATCATCTTTTTCTTGGTCATTGGCTCATAATCATACATGGACTGATTGGCTAGAATGCAACTGAGGGGTCTATCACTGGGTACTGATACCAAGGTGCCCCCCCCCCGGTGCTTAAGAGTCAAAGATTACACACAAAATAGCAATTCAACAAATAGAAGGGAACAAGCAACTATATAACAGTATGATTCTTATGCAAATTTCTTTAAGCAATATTCCAAATTAAAAATATAACTATTAAGACACAACACAAAATGTAGGCAACAAGAAAAGCAAACAATGCACAAAATTCCATATACCAAAGCCAAAAGAGAGCTCCACCAAATCCCACACCATGGAACTGGGATTTTTCTTGACACTGAGCCATGCCTACCACCAGGCTATGCCTATTGAGTCCTATATAGTCCCAAATGGTTCAAAGAATCCAAGTGATAGGTCAGGGCCTCCTGATTATGCACACCAAAGACTTTACCCAGTTTGGGCTCATCAACCCACCAACAACCTGTTTCCTTTCCCCAGCTGGGCATAACAGATGACCATCTTTGAAAGAGAGAAGGATAATTCCCAAGTAAAATCATTCAGCAGCTCCCAAGTTTCCTCATGGGGTATATCAGCCACAGGCAGCCTGGAAAACCCCCTACAAAATCCAGGAACTTATAGGAGGGGATCCAACTTATTCCTGGCTGGCTCACCAAAACTATAACCGAAACCAAGTTTTGGCTGCCTGCCACAATGAAAGCCAGACTCATGAGACAGATGCTAGTGGAAAAGGAAAGAGGCTTATTCAAGCGCCAGTCACCTGAGAAGGTGGGGGACTCTTGTCACAAATTCCATCTCTCTACCTCAGTGCAGGCAGAGATTGTTATAAAAGAGAGAGGGAAAGTTGAACAAATAAATCAAGGGGAGATGAAAAGTTCTCTATGTGCAGGCTAGCACAGTCTATTTTGATAAGGATCCCGAAACTGATCAAGTGATGTTCTGGTGTTCATCATCTTGGTCTTCGTTCCTGGTTCTACATTATCCTGGCTCTATGGTTGAAGCCAGCAATTCTCTTAGAACTGTAATGACTGAAGGTCAGAGTCTATATCTTTAGAAGTTAGTTTCTAGGATTTTTAAACACACTGTTTATTTATAAACTGCATATTAGTCAGAGTCAGCATTTATAGAAACAATGTCAAAAGAATGGTGGGTGGGTTACAATTTCCTACTATTAGAAGGGGACCACCCACAGACTGGCACATGCAAATAGAAAATACTACAAAAAACAAGAATCAAAGGAATTGACTAGAAAACAGAATCCATGTGTAATTTGATATAAATATAATTATTTAATGCACACTTAATTCTATACTTAATTTTCTCCTTGACAATTTCCCCATCACTATATATTTTTGTTGGCAGCAGCAAGAATAGCATCAGATGTTAGACTGGTGGGATCAGACTGGACCTTGGTTCAGCGACCTTGGTATTTGAGTTCTGGCTAGGAAAGAATTCAGAGCCAAAATTCAAACTATAAGAGGAAGTTTATTTAAAAAGTTGCAGAGATAGGAGTGAGCTGTGGAAGAAATGGGCTCAGAAAACAAGTTACAGAGGCAAAAAGAAGGGAAATTGGAGTTTAGGAGAGAGGAAGGTAAAGGTAAAGCTCATGGGGGAAAGAGAAGAAGGTGTGGCCATGCTTCCAAGAAACAGAGCACTCTGGGTATATATCTGGAGATTATAGGGAGGGTTCCAATAAGATATTCATCAGCTTTTCAGGTGTGCCTTTTCAGGGTTATGGTCTCCATTGATTGGTCAGTGCCAGGGTGATGTGTCATGAGTCAATGCAGCTGGTTCTGAGAAGCCAAGGAGTCGCTTGTCTGTTTTTTCTGCTTTTATGGGCCTGGAGCTAAAACCCAACTGAAGCCTAGATGTACTTGATGCCTGTCAGAACCTCATTGTCCTTAGGGCTTAATGCTTAAAGGCTGTTATTGGACCCCCTTGTTATTCCGTCTCCAAGGGGTTTTAACCAGTATGACTAGCAACATGCTAGGGGAGCAAAGGTGAGGGGACAATTCTAACCTAATGACCAGAGATATGAAAGGCCAGGGATTCTAAACCATATGACCAGCAGTGTGCTACCCAAGAAGGAGAAGTTATCCTGGGAGCAAGGTTGTTGTTTTCTCAGTTTTGCCCATTGCTAGGCACCCAGGGCTTTCCACCCTGGTGACCTTCTATACCTGATTCATTGTCCTTTCTCTGACCATGTCTATCTAACTGCCTATGACATTTTGAAAAGTACATTAATAAAAAGATGAGATAAGAGCAGAGTGATAGGTAGTAAAAAGAACCTATGTCTAGAGACAAAAGAACATGCACTAGGGCCACAACGTAATAGGGTCTGAGGCTGAGATAATAGGAAGCTTATTCTAAACTGATAAGACAAATGAAAATAAAGGGTACTGGGCTCAAGATACAGGTACTACTAGGACTTTAGGGTGAATCATTGGACCTTACCTTGACAAAAATACAGCTCCATCTTTGATGCAAGTTCAGGGTCTTCTTCCCAGAGATACTGAATAAATTTCTTGCAGGCATGGCATCCTTTCCCAATAATGAGGTCAATCAAGACTCGAGCCCTATCCATGACTGTGTGATTTTCATCTTTCACTTTGCACATCTCCTCCTGGCTAAGCGCTCTGTCCTCTAAGAGGTCATCCAGCAAGGCATTTATTGTACCATGGCCCACTGAACGGATAAACAGCCTCCTCTTCTGAATCAGTTGTTTGTCTATTGGAAACAAAGAGTCCCCAAGTAATGAAAACAGCCAAACTTCCCTCTCAATTCACAAACAAGGAAGCAATCATCTTAGTCTTTTTCAACCACACTTTTCTCTCCACGGAATGAGCTAATGCATTTGAATCTTCAGGCATCTACTCCATAGAAGTCTTTCTGATTCTTGCCTTACCTTCATGAGGTCACTGAGTAACCCGAGAGAGCCAATTTCATGATTTTTTCTGTTAGCTTCTTGAAATCAGAAGTTATTCTGCTCTGACACACTCCAATTTCTTAAATTCTGAAGAGTTTTGACAGGCTATTTCCTTGGGAAACAAGCTCAGCTGCTGATATGCATCCCATGCCCAGGTGACTCATAGTTTCAAATTCAGATAAAACTAACAAACTAACAGGATACCAATAGAATCTCTGATTCTTCCTGGCCTTTTATTTCAAAAGTGTTGTGAAAGGCTGGCTGAGCACCTTCCCTTCCTCCTCCTATTCCCTCTCCACGTAAACCTGTTAGGTTTAGGTTCCTCACATAAACATTCACCAGGCCTAATGAGGAAGGTAGCCCCTTCCCAAACCATGTTTTCCCCATGAGCTCTCAGACTAGAAAAGACTCACCAGCCATGGATCCTCACAGTGGCCTTCTGTGTGCAGTTGAAATGGCAAGCAATTTGGTCCTGTCTTTTTATGTAGGACGTGCACAGAGATTGCGAAATAATAGTTACACCTACCTATGCATAATAATCATTATTTCAAGTTGGAGTGGGGAGGTGTACACCCACCTAGTGAGACTAATCTTCTCTGAAGGGCAAAGGTGCCTCAGACCAACTGATTTTGACCAAGAGAATAGGGATCTAGTTTACTCTAACTTATCTTTGTATGTAATATATCTCTTATTAAAAAATTTTTTTCAACTCAGTTACTATTGTTTCACAACCTGTGCAGATAAAAAAAAAAAGGCCTGCCTGTGGATCATGTTTAACCTGCAGGCCACATATCTGTCTTCTGTGCTCTTCGCAAATTACTGCATTATATTCTTGGGAACAAGACTCTATCTTGGTAATGGGTAGTATAAAATTTTGTACATTTTAATCTATGGTTTTCTCAAAGCATTTTTTACTTTCCCTTCTTATTTCCTTGGCCAAGCTTGTAGCAGGCTCCTATTGCCACAGGGAATAATCATAGTAAGGCAGAAGCTAGGAATGGCCAGAAAGGCATTGAGATCTGGAGAAAGAAAAAGACAAGGCACTCACACACACACACACACACACACACACACAAATGGGAATGTTTCTGTGGAAAATGCTGAGAACATTATCCTCAAGATAATAGTTTTCTTGTCATGGACTGCCTGAAGAGGCAGAGGTGTTTGAGTTTTCCAGCCAGCCAGGACAACACACCAATACTTTGAGGTGGTATTCTGACCACAACCAAAAGCCAAATCATACTTCTAGGAAGCAAGACTATAGGCACCAGGATCTCTGATTCTCAGTTTTCTGGAAGCCCAATAGAGACTTACTAAATATGCAAGTCCATTGCTGGCTTTAGAAATGAAAATGTCAATGATTATGATATTTAAATGGAAAAGATAAGATTTTCTTTTCTCATCTTTCTGGAGATCACTCAAGCATATATAAACCTGGTAAGACTCCAAGAAGAGGATGAGGTTCCTATAATAGTTAAAATTGAAGTTACCTCCCTGGCCGATATTGCTCAGTGGTTAGAGTGTCAGCCTGTGAACTAAAGGGTTGCAGGTTCAATTCCTGGTCAAGGGCATGTGCACTGGTTGTTGGTTCCATCTCTGGCCCTGGTCGGGGCTTGTGTGGAGGCAACCCATCAATGTGTCTCTCTCAGTCCGATGTTTCTCTCTCTCTCTCTCTCCCTCCCTCCTTTCCACTCTCTCTAAAAATCAATGGAAAAAATATCCTCAGGTGAGGATAAATAAATAAATAAATAAATAAATAAATAAATAAATAAATAAAATTAGAGTTACTACTCTGGATAGACATTCAAAATATAATTTGGATTGAGGTATAATGATCATAAAATAAATGAATGATGGACTAAATGATAAGTAATGTCTTAAATGACACGAGATGACTTGAAGATTTAGATCAGGTCATGCCAGTTTTCTGGAATTTGATTTGCTACTAACAATTTAAGTTTGGGATGATGATAAAGGTGTGGGTGTAGAGAGTAGATGTGACCTAGGAGGCAGAAGGTCTCTAGATGTGAACTCTTTTATTTTTCATCTATGTTTCATTTACCTATATTTACATAAAGACATTCTAGAATAGATTTAGTAAATACATCTCAATGGGAACACTAACACAAGATTATTTTTTTCTTTTCATGTAAACTTCCCCTCTTCTGAATGAGCTAGTTTATCTAAGCCTCAGTTTCTTTATCTGTGTACAGTTATCTCATCTGTATTATTTTTATTACCTAGATTTGTTTTGACGATTTAGCATAATATTTATAAAACGGTTGCCTGGTCGTAAATGAAAGTGGTTGTTATCATGTTAACAACAATCTTGAAGGAAAGTATCCTCATACTTACATTTCTTCCAAAATGTTTATGAGTTCCTTATGTCACTTATTTCATTATCGTTTTAAAATGTCTCTCTATTTTAAGACAAAATGTATCTCTGTTTTATAAAGGAGAATATTAAGTGTTGGGGGTTCAGAGACTTGCCCAGCACAAGGGCCCCTCATGCAACACTAGACTCGGTGTGATGTGCTACTTGCTCTCCATCCGGCACTGGGGTAGGAAATATGAAGAACATGATCAGTTAAGAGAGGACTCAGACCCCATTCTTAAGGAGTTTAAAATAATTTGGGGGTGATAAGGCATAAGCGTAGGAAAAGATAGCATGACAATACAGGAGAACCTAGACTAAAAGTGCTATATCAGAAAAGGGGGGTTAAAGCTTCTGGAGAAGACAGGAAGATTTCACGCAGGTAGTAGGACATGTTCCTAGAACCTATAGGGTGAAAATTTTGGTGTTACTACTGGGGAAAGAGAGAAGGTTAATAATTTTCTTATAGCTTAATTTTTTTCTAGGTATTGTAACAAGTTGATTAACCCATCCAACAACACTGAGAAAATGGCATTTGTGCCCCACCTTTGCAAATGAGGAAATTGAGTCTTTCAGAAATAAACCTCTTGCCCTAGATCATAGCAATAGTGAATGGGACTTTAGGCAGATTTGATATATACCTCTGTTGAAAGTCACTGTTTAGGTACCTACTTCTGTAACTGAAAGGATTCTCTAGGCCTTCTTCATGTTCCACAAAATCTTGATGTTAATACTTCACTATCTATGAGGAATTACATTTAGGAGCTGGGTCTGAATGGTTGAGGCATTGAAGCCCAAAGATGGGGAAGAGCATCTGGGAATTGGAGTGGAAGGGAGGGTGAAGAGTGGGGAGCAGTGAGTCTGACTAAATTAGCAGAGAGCCAGGAGGTGTTGGACCTTTCAAAGGTCAATTCTTTTTTTTTTTTTAATCTTCACTAGAGGGTATTTTTTTCATTGCTTTTCAGAGACAGTGGAAGGGACAGAGAGAGAGAGACATTGATGTGAGAGAGACACATCAATTGGTTGCTTCATGCACACACCCCGACTGGAGCTGGTGATTGAGCCTGAAACTGAGGTATGTGCCCTTGACCAGGAACCATACCCAGGACCCTTCAATCCTTAGACTGATGCTCTCACCACTAAGCCAAACCAGCTAGGCAAGAGGCCAATTCTTACAGTGGGATTGCTGGGGGATGCCAAAGGTGAAAACTCAGCAAGTGACTTCCTCAAAGCCCTTGAAGGCAGTTAATCTGAATGATCATGAATCTGATGTGTTAATTGGCTACTGGCAGAAATATAAGCAAACACACTCTGGAGGAAAGTTTTGTTAGGCCCATTGAAATATAAAAAATATAATAACATTAAAGAACATTTAACATATGAATGAACATTAAAAATACACTACAGAGCAACCCCTATGAGTAGAAGTCAGCAGAAACAAGAAACCAGAAATTTAAAGACATAAGGATTCATAGATTTTGGACTAATCAGATAAAAAATACATAGGATCTATGTGGGAAATGCTCAAATAAACCCACAAAGAGAGAGATGCATAAATATTATGAAATAATCACTTTTTAAAAGATAGATTTTTTTAAAAATGTAACTTTTGCAAATATAAACTACAATTATTAAAATAAGAAACTCAAAGGACAGGTTAAATACATACACTGTTAATGAGAGAATTGTGTGCTGAAAGATAAATATGATAATCTATCCAAAGAGAGATGATATATTAGGATTCTGAACATTAGGATTCAGACCTGAATCTTACTGGACTAAAAATCAAGGCCTCAACAGGGTTGTGCTTCCTGGAAGATGGGGGAAATAATCTACTTCCAAGCTCATTTAGGTTGTTGGTTGGATGAATCCAGTTCCTTGTGGTGAGAGCAAGGAGATTAAATGTTTTTTCCTGGCTGTAAGCTGGGAGCTATTCCTAGCTCCTCAAGGGCTCTCTCTGGTTCTCACACATGGCCCTACATCTAGAACCAGCATGAGTCTGTCCAAATCTTCTGGATTTCTCTGACTTCCCCCTTCTGCTGCTCTCTTATGCTTTCAGCTGGAAAGGGTTCTCTGCTTTTAAGGACTCAGGTGGTTATATTGGACCCACTCAGATAATCTCCCTATTTAATGGTCAATTGAGCAATAACCTTTATTATATCCACCTGGGCTCTTAACCACTAAACATTACATATTCACAATTGTTAGACAAATAGGTAAAGACCATAGAGACAAAGACTCAGCATATCTCATCTCAGAAGAACATAATAGAAAGAAGGAAAGAAAGACAATATTTAAAGAGTTTTCATTTATACCATGGAATACTACAGAGCTGTAAAGAAGAGGGATCTCTTACCCTTTGAGACACTATGGATGGACCTGGGGAATATTATGCTAAGTGAAATAAGCCAGGCAGAGAAAGACAAA